CCACCCGTTCTGCGTCCTCCATACTGAAGCACATAGGAGGCTTAAACTTCAAGACGCTTTCCCAGGGGCCATCTGTACTGACACAGATTCTGTCCTCCTCTTTCAACCTAATGGAAATGGGACAGAGTAAAATCACACACCACCACGTGGCAGAGACTGTACACAAAGAAATGAAGTTGTAGGCAGCATGTGTCTCTCCTGGCAGGTAAAAAATAGCCAGCTGACTGTATAGCACTCAATTCCTGTACCTCTTCACCAACAATGCAGCGGTTTGTGTGGCAGGTGTCCTCTTCTCCCTGTCCGTAACCAGCTCAATGCCCAAAAACAGTCCTGCACCTCTGTAAAAAGAAACAGGACTTTTTTTTTTACTTTTGGCAGAATGAGTCAGGAAATGCTGCAAGAGATCTGTGGTTGACACATTTGAACACATGATGCAAGTCTTTCATGAGTCACCACAACCTTGGGGTGAAATCTTATTTGGTCAATGGAAACTAAAGACATCTGGCATATATTGGTATTATATTACTGTCCCGCCACCATGGTTAAGAGATGCAGACACGTTCTCGTCAAACACTGAATGAGAAAATGTTTAACATTCAGTACTTCTATAGGTTGAATCCTAGAATCACGCAGCGTGTTTGCATTACAGAACAGATAACCATATTAAATATGGAGTCTTTGCCTGACTTAGTGTTATTGGGGGAAGAGTGATTGCTGCCTAATTTATATTAATTTGGCCCATTTGTTATATGAACTAAGTCACTGGGATTCTTGACTAGCTGGAGCCATTGTTGATGTAATTAATGACACCTGTGCTTTCTCATAGCACATCAAAATGTCTGCTGTGAAAAAAACTCATGTACACACCTCAGAAATATAATTTAGGGATATAATTTTAAACAATGTAGGGATAGAGGCTCATTTTTGCTTAACACACACTTGGCTTTTCTATAACGTAAAGTCACTGTATAAGTTATGAGCTGTGTGTTCAGATCGTTTACTTAAGTAAAAGTGCTAAAACCAAAAAAAAAAGCCCTGCAACAAGGAACAGTCCTGCATTCAAAACCTTACATAAATAAAAAATACTAATATTAAAAGCAAACTTGGATCAAAGTGTCAGCAGTAGAATGGCCCCAGTCAGTATTTCATTACACAGTCTATTAGTTATACATGATGTTTTTGGATTGATATTACTGCTGCATTAATGTGTATGTTATACTACTTAACTACTTTATATACTGTTAGGTAGTTTTATTTAAAACACTGCATTAGATTTTACAAAACCATCATATGTTTGTAGCCTCAGCTACGGCTGTCCTGTGAGAACCACGTATCTCTTAAATGTTTCATAAGAACAGCCGTTCTCAGCTTTGTTTAAATAGTTTATTTCACTTTGGAGAATAACCTCAACCCATAAATACAATTAACTATAATTGTATAAAAAATACGTCATCTGAAAAGTAACAAGTAACTGTCAAGCAAATGTATATCCACGTTGAATGAAGATTATGCTTTGTTATAACAATTTATGCCAAAATCACTCAAACAAATTAAAATTAAAGTTATAGGTCACATTTACACATTGCAGCACAAATAATGACTATTCTTACATGTATGGGCACACAGGACATTCTCCTGCTGCTGTATAATTGATAAGGTATCACTATGTGTTTTACTAAGATGCATGAGTTTCTCATTGTTGAGCACATCTCATCGTTGTCTGTTAAATACGCAGCATGTAAAATGAGCGCAGCCAATTGTAGTTGTACAACATAATCAGCCAAGGTAAATAAAAACGCCTGTGTGGTGTAGGAACTTTAATTAGTGGTAGCAGTAACTGCTATAATGCAATGGATGCTGAAAATAGAAAGCATTCTTACCTGACTTCACCAATTATTTGATGTTTTGTTTGTAGCTTTGTGAGCAAATCTTTCAGATGTTCTCCCACCCTTGTGGCGTTTCCCCTTAGGTCCTCGGTCTCTATCACATCAAGGACTGCCAGGCCAATTGCACAGGACACTGGGTTCCCTCCAAACTGCAGGAAGTTTGAGAGAAAACTAATTATTTCATCTTGATATAATTCATGTTTAACAAAAGGTAGTTGAATAGTGTTTTGCTTAAAAGCAGAAATTTGTGTCTACACCTATACACGAGTTACTTTAAGAATTCTAGTTTATAGAGTTGCAACGATTAATCACCAAGTATGTCGTCATTTTTCAATCTTAAATGTGAATTATTTTATGGTTTCTTTAGTGCTATATGACTAAACTGAATAGCTTTGGGTTGTGAGGCCGTCACCTTGGGCTAGTTGCTGCCCTAGTTAATAATGTAGCACTGTTGGGCGCTGTTCGGTAGAGCTGGCGACCCGTATACGCAGCGGCCCGGTTCGAGTCCGACCTGCGGCCCNGTCGTCCCCTCTCTCTCTGCCCCTCTTTCCTGTCTCTCTCCAGCTATCCCTGGAGCATAAAGCCCCCCCCAAAAAAAATCTATATTTAAAATAATGTAGCACTGTAGTGGTAAATTAAAGTGGGTGGACAACAACTTGTGGACAACAGTCAACATATAATATGTTGAATAATAGTAATCAACATAACCACCACACGAAAAAAATAAATTACTCTTGAAGAAACATTATTTTTGCCTCTTTAATTTAAAAGGCCCTATCTTCACGTAACTGACATCAGTTAAATGATAATATTAGTACTGACTATGGTATCACATTATACCGTGAATATCAAGATTTACGTCAGACTATAAGAACGTATTCCTTATTACAAAAAGCCGTAGATATCCCTGGATTACTACTCTGGCTCTTCTTCAGCTGGGAGAGGCTACAGATGCTGGCTTGAAGGAGCATTAACTAATATAATGTCGAGGCTACTGTATAGTCACCGTATTGAAGTACTCCACTCTGTTGGCTGTGAAAGCTTCAGCTATCTCTACCGTAGTTGCCACACATGCCAGGGGATGCCCATTGCCCATCGGTTTGCCCATGGTCACTATGTCGGGACAGAAATTCTCCCCTTGCTGCTGGAAACCCCAGAAGTGACTCCCCAAACGTCCAAAGCCCGTCTGCACCTCGTCTGCCACAAACACTCCACCGGCTGAGCGCACATATCTGTGGAGTGTGTGAGGGAGATGCAGGTTTTCACCCGTTACTGTGTAATATATGTACCTGGGAAAAAACTGGACCTGGAAAATTAGTAACCACTCACTCTGCAACTTTAGCTGAGTATCCTCGGGGCAAGATGATTTGCCCTCCAACACTTGGCAATGATTCAGCAAAGAAGGCAGAGATCTATAGGTGAAAGGTAGTAAATAAGTAAATAAATGTTGTGCATTGGTCATGTTTATCACCGCATTCTGAGTCTCTGTAATGGTAAGTGTGCTGTTTGTGGTAAAGCGTACCTTACGACCTTTCCCGTGCACCTCCTCTATTAGGTCCTTCACGGTATCCGCATATGCTTGGCCCGGGTTGGGGTGATTCTCTCTGTATATCCCTCTGTAGATGTCTGGTAAGGGTGCCTTGGAGGATGAAACACATTGACTCAGATTTGCAGGGGTCCACTGTCGGTCAGCAGTTAGTGTAATTATGATCTTATAAGTGTACACACCACATGAACCCATTCTTTCTGTCCTGCCAGTTTCCGGAACTTGTAAGGACTAATGTCGATGAGGGACATAAGGTGCCCATGGTATGCACTAGTGTAAAAGAAGAGTTAATCGTAATTGATGAGCAAGTGTACTGTCAGAGGGTGAACGTGCTGCATTGGGACAGAATACTTACTGGTCGAGCACAATGACGTCCTCGTGTTGGGTGTACTGCCGTGCCAAGCGCAGGGCAAGATCATTGGCCTCTGAACTGTTAGAAAAACAGATGTGAAACCACTGGTGTGGAAGGGCACTTCAGGAATACGCTTCTGTTGGGCTGTGGGTGTATTACACAGTATTTACCCCGAGTTAACAAAGTAGAAGACACACAGTTTCTCAGGCAGGGTGGCAGCCAGGCGGTCTGCATACAGGACTATGTTGTCGTGCAAGAATCGTGTATTAGTGTTCAGGAGGTCCATTTGTGCTGCTGCAGCCTTGGTAATGCTAGGGTGACAATGGCCCACTACAATAGAGAAGGTACTGAATGTTACTTTAAGACATTTAAAGTGTCTGCCACTAGGAGGCAGGAGTGTAGCATAGTGAGTTTTTAGAAAAGTAGTAAATCTACACTATGCACTGAGTGATTAATGTCTTACCGTGATGTACATTACTGATACAGTCCAGGTAGCGCTCGCCATTTTCATCGAATAGATATTGTCCTCTTGCTCTTACTATTTTCACAGGGTCGTCCGAATAAAAGAGTTTACATGATTGCCTGTAATGAAACCAATGAATACGTGTCAGTGCCAATGCACAGCAACACAGTGTGCAGTGTGCACAATATGAGTGCAGTGTAGCATGGAGAAAATCACACAATAAGCGCAAGTTTCACGTTTCCATACCCGATTAATCTCATCCTCATTGCGAGAGTTTCTTCTTTCTTCAGTCTATCTAGTGCCATAGTTTCTCCTCTCTGTGTTTATAACCTTAAACCAAAAACTGCCGAGGCAAAAGGACCAAGAGCCACGTAATAACACAATGAGTAAGGTTTTATGGAATTGTTTTTGCTAAGTCTTGACATCTACCACGCATGCGTCAATGGTAGACTTGTTTCAGTCGGTGTCACTTAACCTAACGTTCTGCAAAATAGTTTTTTTTTATATCGCAGATATAGGTAGGCTGTATAAATTAGGTATATATGATATTATTTTAGTAAATATCCGAAAAAGCTGCGTTTACTTGTTGCAAAGACATTTCATGGTCAGTTGTGATTTCATGCTGTCGCTTTATTTAGAATGGCCTAACTGTGGGGCCGTTCACGTGACAGAGGCGTCCGAAATAAGTGTAACATGTTGCTAAAAATGTTGTTTTAGTTGGGAACACGTGAAAACGGCTCATAATAGAGAAGTGCGAGCTATACAAGTGTTGTTGGGTTTTGCTCAAATAGGTTCTTTGAGGCTCTGTATTCACAGCACCTCTGTATTGGTATCGCCCAAAGGCTATAAATACCCCGCTGAACTGCCCTCTACCCGGTGCACTGTGTGCAGCTTCGGTTGCTAAGGAACCGCCGAACGCAGGTAATGCATCAGGGCAGCTGTAGCATGTTAGCAGACGTAGCCAGGCTAACGCTACAACTACCTGAGATCTACATTATCAGCGCGGGCGTTACATGTATTAACGTCCCTTTTATGTATTCTGGTTTTAACGGACCACGGCTACAACCGGGTACGATGACAAGCTGTCACAAACCGACTGTGAGCCAGCTAACGCTAGTAACGTTGGTCAGGACACTTGTTATCGTGTCAGCTAATGGAGCTAAAGGAACCGGCTAATGACCGGTGCTCCACGGGCTGCATCGTGTCGGTGAGCTGGCTTACTGTATACTTTGTTTACCAGCTGAAGTCGTGATCCGATTTCACCGGTGAGGAGTCGTGGCTACGTTGTCAATGACACACAGTTGCAGCTAACGTAACGTTGTAGGTTTTTAACAGGCTAACACACGTTGTGCAAGCTGCGCCACACTTAAACTTACTGTCTGGTTTTCACGTTACTAACCACGAGAAGTGTCCTCACGGTGGACCTAATTCACCCCACTAGTAGTCTCAGTTATTAGCGTTTGATGTGACCTGGCAGTCGTGGTGAGAACATCGTTTCATTAACGTGAACCAACGCTGACGTTAAAGTTTGTTACAACGAGATTGAAAAGTGATAAAGTTTTAAATCAGCTGCTGGCTGACAGCCCTGCTCCTGGCTGCTTGTGGGGTGCCGAGGTTTAACAGAGGCTGCTTGTCTCCGGTCCACACGGTGAAGTAGCAGCTTGTCTTCTGGCATGTGGAGCCAGGTTAGCAATGTAGCACCATCTGCCACAAGGAGGAAGGCCCTGGAGGCCACATCTGACTGCCTGAAGCAAGTGCTGAGGCAAATGTCCTCAAAGAGTAGGACTACATCACCAAGCGTTTTAATTCAGGTTGATTTGAGGTGGATGCGGTTTTATGTTTGTCTGGTTTGTGTCAGTATTGTAGGTTTTAGGTTTCACATTTAAAGCAAAGGCTAAAGGGCCATGTTACATTTTATTGCAGTGGATAGTTTATATATTGTCTTTCTTCTTGCATGAGCCACTGCAGGTTGATCTCACATGTTTTAGATTTTTAACTTTGCTTTTTGCGTGTAAAGAAAACTTCAGAGGATTAGTTTTATTGAAACAGACGTGCAGGCGCTCTCTGGGTACATCACACCGGTTTGGCTTTGCCTTGGTAATATAAACCCTTGAGACCTGGTCACTGTTCTTTTGTCCCCCTTGTGAAGATAGTGTGGCATGCTTCCAGCCCCTAACCCCATTCATTTTTCACACACTTCCCCCTTTCTTCCCCCTGTTTTGTCTCTCCCTCCCCCTTCCTTTCACTTCACAACTCTTGTCATTTGTTTATTGGACCCAACTGACTTTGAGGTTTTCACTTAGGACGCGCTATTCGTCTTCTTTCAAATTGCACTACACCACGTTTGTAGTCCCAAGAAGAAATGTCCACTGTGCATGTAGGAATGTGAAGTGTCTCTTTGTTCTGGGTCTCCCCACATCCATGTGCTCTCTCTCTCTCTCTGCCTTTGTGAACATGAACTTCTGCCTTTTCATGTGTGAATGAAGCGGCGTGTCGTTCCCAGCCTGGGTCCCGTGGAAATATGTGGTCACTTATTAAAACACACGTATTGTTCCTGCCTCGGGGGCCTTTCTGCTCTACAACAGCTACAGCGTGTGGAGGAAAGTCCCCATTAGCAGATTTCACGCTCCTGTCCACGCTATCCACGGCCTGATGGCTCAAACTAAAAGCTACTGTTCAGCGACGTGGTTCCTCTGTACTGTGTGTGTGATCAGTTTCAGTTAATCATTGACGCTGTTTCATACGAGCCTTCTCTTTTGTTCCTCTAGGTGGCATAAAGATGATGTTGCCGTAGTGGGAGAGCTGGTCAGTCCGGCAGGTTGAGGTGTGGAGGGGACGCCACTAACCACGCCAGGAGTCTGACTGATGTTTCCACGGCCCTCCGGAGATCTCCTCGTCCTCTCCATGTCTCTCCCTGGGTTGTAGCTACAATTATGGTGACGCTTATCACGGAGCAGCTCCGTAAGCAGAGTCTGGAAGAGCCTTATTACAAGGCTTTCTCATTCAATGTGAATGTGGTGAGTTGAATGAGTGAACAGTCTGTTTTTTTTCCCCTTTGGTTCACTGATGAGTTCTGCTTTTAATGCAAGTTTCATTTCTGTTTCAGTCGTTGCCTGCAGTGGGCTCCAGTCCCACTGTCTCATGGAGTGCTTGCAGATCAACACAAGGCAAGTTTGCTGAATGAAGTACAGCGTTTGCAACCCATCAGTACAGGAACGTCTTTCTCATGTCTGTCTTTTGGCATTTTCAGAGACCAGCTCAGCTCAGCCATCATCCAGCGCTAATCCTCCTGAGGATTCCTGTGGACCAGACTCCCTGTGGCCATCTTCCCATTCTGGAGAACCCGTCCAGAGACCGGAGGTTTCCTTCACAGATGAGGCTTTCCAAAGCTCACCCCCACCACCACCCCCAAAACGCCACTGCCGTTCCCTCTCTGTTCCAGAGGACCTGTCTCGGTGCCGCTCTACCTGGCATCCTAGTGCGTCCAAAGTTTGGACCCCAGTCAAACGTGGCTGTCAGAGTGGAGGAGCGTCTAGTTCGGGCTCTGGAGCCAGCTCGTTGCCGCTCTGTGGTCCCAGTTCCTCCTTCACCTCTTCATCCCTACACTCCTCTTCTAGCCCTACCTTCTTCAGCTTAGCACTGTCCTCTGACTCCCCGCTACCATGGAGCTTCCCATGGGACCCCTGTGACAAACTCAAAGGCTCCTGTTCTGCCTCTTTTGCTACTCCTTCCTCCTGCTCCTCTTCACCAGCCCCCCTGGTTTCTCACTCAGTGCTGCAGCGCCGCTTCTCACTCTCTCCCGTGCACATTCAGGACGCCTCTGTGGTTCTTCTGCCCCCCCGGCCCTCCCCTGCTTCTGCTCTGAGATATGGCTGCTCTGCAATGGAGCACCCGGCCCTGTCTCCATCTCCCACTTCAGCCTGCAGCACACCTTCCTCCTCCCGGCGCGACCTGCACCCGGCACTGCCGCGATGCCATTCACAGCCCTGTGACATGCGCAAACCTCGCTTGAAGAGGCGCCATGACGCAGATGTTCTGCCCTGCCCCAGGCCAGGCCTTGACTTCAGCAAGATGACACAGGTGAGCAAGAAGGTCTACTGGGCTATCAAGTTAGGTCAGTCTCCTCATTTTGGTGCATATATTGAGATCGGTAAGTATCGTAGGCCTCTGGCAGCAATCCACATCTTGGCTCGGCACAGCAAAGCTTGGCCCCCAATGCCATCAACCTTCATATTTCAGACTAGTATTTATCTTCCGTTTGGAAGTGAAGAAGTGAAGAAGTGAGCCTCTAGATCTGTTTCTGTTTCCTTATGACTCGCCCCCATCAGTCAGGGTTGGGTTCGGAGTTGTCTTTGGTGCTGGCAATTTTACCCAATTGACCAACAAAAGTCAAAAATCACTACTACACTCTTAGGCTGCAACTTTCCTATTTCCACTCAAAGCCAACTTTTATGCAGGCCCCCTTTTGATACATAAAACCAGCTATTATAAACTCTACTGATCCCGAGTTCCAGCCAGAGATTGACTCATTCTTAATGAGACTCCTGGAACAGTTTCCTTGGTTGCAACTATTTAATAAAGCAAAACTAACTTCCCACTTCGCCTTGATATGAGAAGTTCAAAGGTTTCTAAAGGCAAAATCCTTAAATGCTTAATTTGGACCTTTTTATTTAAGTTCACCCCTTACTTATTTTGCACAAATATATAATAATGATGAGCCACCGAGTGCACACTCAGTTAGGTAGAAGGTTACAGTATGTATGTTTCTGGCACTCCTGGTACTTAAACTATTATTATAATTACTACACGTTCTGGTCTGTGTGTCAAATATAAGTTACATATTTACATTTAACAGGATTAAATAACCTTTATGCAGTTTACATAAGTCTATAAAAGGCTATAGTTTCCAGAGTTACGGTGTTTCGGTAGACCATTTGCCTTATCAGTCAGATGACACATGTCAGCCAAGCCCATTAAATCAGATATCATTTAATCTATACTTAACCAAGAAACAGGAACTGCCCTCATGCACACTTCCTGACATTGATCTCTTCACTGCACCAGCTTTATTTTATTACCTCTTGAGCATGGACCCTGAGATGTATGAGGGTGAATTTGGCTGCATTAATGAGCACTGAGAAAAAGATTGGGATCCCATTTTTAGTGAGGTGTTTCCCGTGTGTTCAATGCTACAGTCGTCGCACGTTAACCTAATCCTGACGCTTCTTTCTCCTGTGTAGATTGGTAATCACGAGAGCCTAGTGTGTGGTTCAGCTGGCTGCACAGTCCAAGTGTCTTCCCAGGCAGAGCAGCACTCGGCCTTCTCCCCTGCTGAATTCCTGGGACGAGCCAGCATTGGGCCACTAAGTGAAAGTGAAGAAGAGGAGGAGGAGGAGGAGGAGGAAGACGAAAGAAAAAGGACTGTAATAGATGGAGGACAAAAGATTGTTTTTGAAAGAGACTGCACAGAACTGGACTTGAACCTTATAGAAGAGAACTGACCAACCCTCGGTGCTCCCAGTGTGATTACTGCATTCATAACCATGTTAAGCACACCTGTAGGCTTCGTGCGCTCTTCTGGCAGAGTCCTTGGGAACCTGCTGCCCTCCTAAGGCACATGTCCAGAGTTCATAATAAAGAACCAAGCAATTAGAAGCTAATATCAAATTACAATGTTATAGGGAAAATGTGCATGAGCAAATGAGCTAGTTTTCATGCACAGAGAATTTTGGATAATATTTCATACTGATACAAGTCTTAATTTGCGCTAATCATTAGTACACATCTTGATAACCTTACATATCCTCATCAAAGAACACTGTATACTGGAGTAAGCAGAATGTGCTTCATATTTCCTCATAAGTGATTTGAATACACACTAAAAGGTTAATAGTCTAATGGGATGGAGGGAAGCAATCCTCAGTGCCACATCCGCTGGTGGTGTATTCTACTTTAGTATTTGGGTCTCTGAATTAGGAAGTGACTGTAATGTGACATATGGAGCTGTTAAAGGTGGACGTAATGATGCCATGTGTGGGTCAAAATAATGTTTGAGGAAGACAAACAAGATAGAAATGCGACTCTATATGTAAATGCTCTCCTGTATGTGAACGGGATACATTCCAGGATTTCTCTGCAGTTCCTTAAAGGTACAATGTGCAGTTCTCAAAGTCCTCGTTATGATGCTGGTGGCCGTTACGTGAACTGCAGTCGGCACCCTGTCGCTCGCGCTCTGTAGGCGAGAGCGTCAGACAAACCGGTGACGTGACTGAACGCTGAACGGTGGAAAATAAATTACAATAGTTTACTTATTTAAAATAACATCACTATCTGTAATGTTCTTATCGAGCTGGCAACGTTACGAAGCAACCAACGTCAGATCCACGCGGCTCACTTTAGGTTCGGTTACAGTTCGCTACTGGCTTCGGTTGCTTTGTAACATTAGCTGATGAAGTCATTTGCAAACGTTAACTATAAAGTTTACCAGCCAGCTCGGCCTCAGAAGTCTGGGTGAATTAGCGGACGTTATCCCCTTAAGATATTATTTCTATATTAGACAAAACCACAACAATTTATTTCACGTGCTTTGCCGAAATGTTTGCTTTGACGTTGGACTTTGTGTTCGACTTGGTTGTAGGGGGTGCCGGTCGTTTGTTGACGTTAGTGGATTTCATTTCTCGGCGAACGTCAGCAGCTCAGTAGTGCGAACACACGTCACATCTTTTGGATTTTCCCAGAAAAAAAAAAAACAGTCCTCAATCCTTTTACACTGGAATCAGTCCGCAGGCTGTCGCAGGCAACCAAGAAAGTCAGGGAAGGTCTAATTTTGTTAAGTTGCGTTACGATCCGATTAATGCAAATTGCTTTACATTTTATATATCGCACCTTTACATCCCCTCACGGACGCCTGTTCTGTCATTGATTTAGACTTTGGAGTCACTCATCATCAAAGGGAAGCTCTTCTCGTCCACCTTTTTTTTGTTCGTATATATTTTCTTTTGGGCGTTTTCACAATTGCTTGAACATTAACACACCTTGTCAACAATAACACTGATGATACTGTAAACTGACCATGCCTTAAGCTTAAAACACAGAGTTCTTGGTGCTCTGGTCTTCTTTTCACAGCCAGACAGTTTTTGCAGTCTCCATTTTTGCGCCGATTCAGATATTTTTGAACAGGTGGCACATGCACTATAACGGTCGATTGAATAAGTGAATCGATGCTGCAGCTGGACTCCATAGGGCACAATGTAATGTACTGTACAGCCGTTTAGAGAGAGTACACACGTCGAGCCAATTCTGAGTGTATGTGACAAAGGCGGTAGTGACGCAGATGATTTGGTGGCCTTTCAGAAATGATTTTTCATGTGTTTTCAGATAGAAAATATTCCTGTTGCACAATTTATGTACAAATAAAATTTAATAGAGAATGATATTTTTTTTTTTTCCCAAAAAGTTTCTTGTCTTCATTAAAAAAAATCTACATAATGTGAAATGAAAAGAGCTCCTATAGATTATTATACTATTGTGACACCTAGTGGGAGATTTTAGTATAATACTGATTAATACTGTTTTATAAATTGATTATTAATATCGATTCACTGGCAGCTAAATTTACTATTCTGAAAAAAAAAAAAAAGAAAACAAGAAAGTTTCACAAAAACAACCCAAACTTACACACATACTGCAACAGAGCAACAACCTCCAGATCATCTCACAATAAATAAACACGCATGTTTGAAGTCACCACTCGACCGCGGGTAAAGTTGAAGCCCACCATGTTTTACGTTTACATAAGCAGGGCCTGTTGCACTGGACGAGTCCTGCACGTCTTTGTCGGATTGCCGTTCCGCCGTGGAAGGTGAGGGCGCTCATTTCAGTCCACTGGTGCTTTTTTCTTTTTGTTTTTTTCAGACGGCCTGACCCCCCCACCAACAAGCCACTTCCTCTTTTGTCTAATTTCATGGCGATCGGGAGAGAGGGAACACCACCGACGCACGCACACTGTCTCAGCACTCTTCAAAGAGTTTATCCGGGGTAAATACCTGACCGTATTTTTTTTTTTTTTTGCAACATTCCGTCGCTGGGTTACCAAAAGTAGTCCCGCTCGAGTTCAGCCATGTGGGCGATTCAGCCTTTTCCCTGTGAAGTGTATCATGTGTTTAACAGCTTGTGGCTCAGATATTTTACACTGTAGCGCCACTCGCTGATAAGAAATCGGACGGCTCTCTCGCTGTGTCTCCCCCCTCCTCCTCTCGTGTCTCCCCCACTCACTCAGCGGCGAGCTAACGTTAGCACAAAAAAAAAGAAAAAAAAGAAACGCCACATAAATGTAGCTGTGGAGCTTTTATTTCTTCCTCTTGGCACATTATTCGTGTTGGTAGCAGATCAGTAACACCATCTGCGGCGTGTGTGCTCGCCGGGTAGCAGGGGGGGATAGCGGAGTTTGTATTAAAACGCCACTTTTTTTTAAAAAAAAGTTGTCAAATGTTTGTGTTTGGGGTTCAGCTAGCCAACGCCGCCTAGCTGTAGCCGCCGTGCTAGTTAGCGTTAGCTCGGGTCGCGATTGTGAAGTTAATGCGAGCTGAACTACTTGAGGAGGAAGACGCTGGGTGTGATAGGTTTGTCATCTACTAAGAGTTAAACAACTTAAGTGTCTGCACGGAGCATTTTCGGGTTTTACGCCATTCAGTGAGCCCAGTTGTTCCCGGTAGCCGAGGAGCGAGTGAGCTAGCGCCGTTAGCTACTTAACGGTAACTTGGTTGCTAACGAGGCTCTGCCGATCCGCCGATATGTTCACGAAGTTATCGATAACCTCAGCCACTCGTACTGTCGGCTAACGTGGACGTGCAGTGTCGGTGTGTGACTGTTTCGTGTGTGTGCTTCGTGAGAAAACAGTGGCGTTGTGGTCGCAATTTAAAGTAAAGTCGACCCTCCAGAAGTTGTGAACCAGCAACTCTAACAGGTTAAATGTGGTGAAGTGTAAAAAGAAAAAGTGGTTGTGTGTTATTAACAAGTCCCGAAGCATGAGTTGACTTTATGAAAACACTGTCGCATGGTGGATTCACACCACACAACATTTGTTTTTGACTGACTGCTAATCCTGCAAAATGTTGTCTTTTCAACAAGTCAGTGACTCCAACTAACTCATTATTTTAAAATCTACACACTTTTTCTTTTGTTTACAGTGTAAACTAAGTTGTCAACCTGAGTGGGACAACAGACATTGTTCTCCAGGTGAGTGTCTGACAGTCTGTCACTGAAGAAACAACCCACTATAATATAATGTGTCTGTAATGTGTCTCTGGGTTTAATTTGATGAACTGGGAGTGGTTGATTTTCAGCCCTGATTCTTCCAGTTCTTTGGCACCGTGTTTTTAATTCTTACACATGAATATACGACAGGACTTAATGGTCACTTACACAAAAGTACAGTCAGATACACTTTCGACCCCCCTTTTTCTTCTTCAGAACAAGTTGTTCGGGGAGTTGCGTATGGAAATATAAAGAAGTGATGTATATTTTGTTGTATCTTTGTGCAGGTGAAACTAAGTGGACATCGTTTAAGGGGCTCCATAGCACTTGGATCTGTTCTTCCCTGTCCCAGGTTCAGACTGCTTGGTCTATGGCTCTGATGGACAAACACAAACAGGTCAAGCGGCAGAGACTTGACCGCATATGTGAGGGTGAGTTTTTATACGTTTCCATACGCAAAGTGAAAGTAAATATGTGGGAGCTCGTGTTTTTTAAGCTGTATTTTGTTACTGTCACGTTTCTATAAGTATTACAGTTTAACTTTGTTGTATTACTGCCTCTCAGCCAGACCACCGTACTCATATACTCAGTTAAACCCGGTTCTACGGTCGATTATCTTTCATACGTGATGGCAATAGATATGTGCTTCTGTCCACGTGTGAAAACATTTTAGCACCAGCCTGCAAGTGTGTTAACTATGTAGGCTGAACATAGTGAGGGCAGGTTTAGCCTGTTAAAGGTAGAAAAATGATATTTATCAAAGTTTGTGCCTTGTTTGAGTTCATATTGTTCTGATATTTAATGGTTGCTTTTCACGTATTAATCTCTTGCTCTAGGAGTATTGTGGTTGTGATGAAACTCTCTTTCTTTCGTTTTATGGTGATGAAAGGTTAACGTACTGGACTGGTGCTTTCTAACTGAAGTAGTAAGGTTAACTGACTTCTGACTATTATATATTTCTTATTGTCTCTGTGTTTGAGAGTGGAGGTGTTTGCTGTTCGATCTATCTTTGTTAAATTGGTATTAGAGCTGCTGATACGGTAAAATACACACACATACACACACACATATATATATATGTGTATGTATTGCGATTATTGACAGACTGCAATATGATTCATGATTCCTGGCAGTGATCTTTTTGCGTCTTTCATTTTCACTGAAAAAATGAGTCAGATCATGATGGTGTGACATTTGTTGGGGGTCTGTGCTGAACAAACATGTTTTCTTACATTTGGAGAACACGATTTGTCGACCACACATTTTAACATTATCATAAAACTGCAGCTTCTACATTTTAAATAGTGCTCTTGGCCGTATTGTGATTTTAGATAATAATTAAGTTAACTGTGCAGCCCTAATTGGTATGCAAGGAATGTAAACATGGAAGCTTTGCGCTGTGTTTCATGTTGAAAACGACAGAAAATAAGTAAACTTTTTACGTTGCTTCAAGTATTTGCAGTCACGGACGGCACCGTGCAGATTTGTAGCAGAAACAGTGTTTTGAGCTGTTGCAGAGCGGAGAGTAGACGATGGCCATCAGACATAACGGTGTGCTAAAATGGAGGGAACAGTCTGGGAGAGTCTCTGGAGACGGGTGAGAGGGAGAGGACGAGGTGAAGGGTCGTGGCCGCAGCTACAGGGAAACGGGCCAGCTGTCTCTTTAAAAAACGACAACAGCCCAAACCGCCCTCGGCCTCGGCACCCGGCTATGCTAATGAGGTTAGTGCTGGTTGGCTGGCCCTCAATGGAGCCGCCTGCGATTGGACGCCGGCCGTGGGGGAGGGGCTGGGCGTGGATGACAGCTGGGATCCAGCCAGCCAAGAGCAGGCTGACAGAGAGAGAGAGAGGGAGAAAAAAAAGAGCGATAGAGGGAGAGCAAGGCGAGAGAGGGAGAGAGAGAGAGGAAGACAGGCTCACAGACTTCATAATGCAAGGTTAGGCCCGGTGCTCATGTGTTTTCTATTTTGGCATGTGTTTTTAAAATTTGTGAACTGTGGGTGGGGGGGGGAGGTCTCAGATTTGGGTGTGGAGCAGTTGTGGGTGCGCAGTTTTTCCTTTTATGTTCAGCGCGTATTGGTGTTGTCGCAGCCGTTGAGAAGGAACTGAATAACCCGTGTGTGTGTGTGTGTGTGTGTCTAGCTGCGTCTGGGTGGAGTACCGCTGCTTGCTGCATTATCATCGTTCGCTGCCCCTCCCCCCTCACCTCTTACTCCTCCAACTGCGGCCAGAGGGAGAGAGAAGAGGAGGAGGAGGGAGCGAGGGCAAAGAAAGGGAGAGGGAGGGAGAATGAATGAATCACTGAATGAATTGTATTGTGTGTGCGGCCATGCTTGCGCTTAGTAGGCCTCGGGTATGCCTGTGTCCTTTGACTCAAATTACTGTGTGTAGGCCTACTTGTATATTTCCAGAACTACTTTTTCAGAGGGGGTCTTTGTGACGAATCTCTTTGGGTTTTTCTGCATAGTAAGAGTCTCTTTGTGCTTCCAGCGTTTAGCAGTAGGCCTGTTAGCATTCTTGAGCCATCTGCAACGAATGTGAACTGGCTCTGCTCAGTGAAATGCAGTAGGTTGTACATTTCTATAAAGCCACTCGACCGTGTGTTTTTCTTTCTTCTTTCCCTGTGTGCGTTTCATGCATGCGTTGGGAAATCGGACGTCAGAGGAAGTGTTCACAAATATTTGTTTTCCACCCTCGGGCTACCGGCTCCCTTCCCTCCTCTGCAGTCTCACCATTACCTCCTGCCCTCTGTCCAAGTAAATGTTTCAGCTAGACACACTCCCCCACCCCGGGACACACACACATACACACCTGTCACCCAGCAGGGACAAGATAGTGTGTACTGGTGCATGTGTGGGGTTAGTCCGAGCCAAGAACGGCTGAGAAGACGACAGAAAGAGAGAAATAGCATTTACAGATACAACTGCTAGTGTCGATTTCCCCTAATTCAACACCAGTGCATTGGCAGACATGTGGCATGTATGTTAATTTGTTTTTGACCCGCGTCGTTTTATTTGTTGACATAATCGTAAACGGCCGTGGTGTACGTAAGCAGAATGTGCAGATGTTTGCCAGGTGTTTGTGTGTCCTGTATGTGCGTGAAGAAAGGGGGAGAACAGAAAAATAAGGAGGGACTCTTCCAGACAGCAGAATTTAGGTCATGACTCAGACCCCCTCATGAACCCCCGCCACCTCCTCTCTGAGACCCCGCAGTTTTCTCCACCCCTCCCCCCAGCCACCACACTCCATCACCTCTCCCCCTCCCCTCTGCGTGCGCTCGTCTCATACAGTGGCAGGTCAAGTTCCCAGACTTAACGCGTTATAAAAATGGCTCCGCTTCATTAACCAGAATCCAGCCTTCCCTTTGGAGGGGTCCGGAGTGGAGCTGGATCGATAAAAGCTGGACGGCGTATATTGGTTGCATGCGTTCTCAAACCGAGCTGGAGTTCAATACCAAATAGGCACGGATGCTGGACGCTCTCCATGCCCCATCACAGATTTAGTTACACGTTGGTAACAGTAGAGCGCTCTGTAGGAACACACATACTCTTGATGTTGGTAGTTCTCTTGGGGTGTTGGTGGATGCATTGGAAAAAGAAAGTCATAAAAAGTCTGAGTTATTATTGTCTAAGGAGTGTGGCAGCTAGCCCTGTTAACTTTAGCCCTGCGAGCAGGGGATTTTGTGTGAGGGTATGATGACTTGCCTTACGTTGGGAAGTCCAGACATGGGAAACGCGGACTGTTGAGTCACTAATCTGTAGCTTTATCATGCTGTTTCTGATGCGGCTGGTAGCTTTATACTGCATCATCAGTCACTCAGCAAGTTGTCACTGCAGTACGACAGATGATCTCTAATTTGTGTCTTTTATTTATTGCTCGTGTGCAACAACCAACATTATTTCCCTCCTGTTGGACCCAGGTATCCGACCCCCTATCCTGAATGGGCCAATGCACCCGCGGCCCCTAGTGGCCCTGCTGGACGGGCGCGACTGCACTGTGGAAATGCCCATCCTCAAAGATGTGGCCACAGTGGCCTTCTGCGATGCCCAGTCCACACAAGAGATTCACGAGAAGGTAAAGCCGACACACCCACACGCATGTCCACACTGTAATCACAGTCCATAAGGGCAAAACACTTAAACCCTTGTTTCATTCTGATGTAGTATAAAAGTAATCTAACTGTACCCTTAATTTCAAGCAGAACTGTGTAGAATTAGGATTAATGTTCTTTATGTATTACTTCTGTAGGTGCTAAATGAGGCAGTGGCTGCTCTACTCTACCACACCATCACTCTGTCCAGAGACGACTTGGAAAAGTTTAAAGGCCTTCGCGTAATTGTCAGGATTGGCTCCGGCTTTGACAACGTTGACATCAAAGCAGCTGCTGAGCTAGGTGAGTGGGTGGAATTGTAAACACACACACACACGCACGATCCGCCACGAGCTAACGCAGAGAGTAACACGCAGAGTGGTTGTCTTTCTTCCTTTCTATCGGCCATCCAGGCATTGCCGTCTGTAACGTGCCAGCATCCTCTGTGGAGGAGACAGCCGACACTTCGCTATGTCTGATCCTCAACCTGTACAGGCGAGTCACATGGATGCACCAGGCGCTCAGGGAGGGAACCCGGGCCTCTAGTGTGGAGCAGATTAGGGAAGTAGCTGGCGGTGCTGCTCGTATCCGGGGCGAGACATTGGGCATTATCGGTCTAGGTGAGTAAAGAGTATGGCCATGGGTGTCTACATTTGTTAGAGTGTATTGTAGCCACGTGCTCTAACACTTATGCCTTATTCACTTTGAGCAAAACAAAGTTTGTTTTGTTTGTAAAGATCTGTTTAATCCAGGCAGTTGATGGTCAGACAAACAGTATGCTGTAAGACCTGTTTTGGTACATGTGCTCGCTCGGTGGCTGTTAAATAACCTTACCATTTCTCTTTTTCTGCCAGGGCGTGTTGGCCAGGCGGTGGCTCTGCGGGCTAAGGCCTTTGGTTTTGGCGTGATCTTCTATGACCCCTACCTGCCTGATGGTGTGGAGCGCTCACTGGGCCTGCAGCGTATGGCTACCCTGCAGGACCTGCTCATCCACTCTGACTGTGTATCCCTGCACTGCAGCCTCAACGAGCACAACCACCACCTCATTAATGACTTCACCATCAAACAGGTGTGTGGATGTGCTCTGAATATGCTAAACACACATTTAGTCTCATGTTTGCTTTCTCATTTGTAGGTATTTTCCCAACGTCCTTAAATGTTGGATTTTGCTTGTGAGGAGTTCGGTTTTATCAAATTTAGATCAAGTCTGGATCAAGTGTTGGATCATTTATCAAATCTGATTTTGTTTTTTTCTTATGATATTTGTGCACTGTGTCTTCTTTTAAGTAAATAGCTGTTTTAGCACAATGGCCTTGTCCTAATGTGAGTCCAGTGTAATTAGTTCTCCTGCTTGTCAAGTCAAATATGAAGAACCCTGAACTATCTTAGACCAATTGGTTGATAATCTACAAAAAATAGGACTCTAACATTACCATATACAGCGTTCTGTTTTTATATGCAGCGTAAAATCCTGACTCAAACATTTGGCGAACAATGTTTGAACATAATTGTCTAGACAGTCAAGACAACTTGGCCTGGAACAAACATTGTCTCAATGTTATAGGACAGTCTGCATTATAGATTGGAAGAATAAAATGATGCCAAATGATCTCAGCCTGTACTGTTGCAGACTGAAAGTTTTAGCCTTTTCTGGCATGCTCTGCTCCCCATAGTTTAATCATACTGTTGCTAACTCTGTGATACAGATGCGTCAGGGAGCCTTCCTGGTGAACACATCAAGAGGCGGCCTGGTTGATGAGAAAGCATTGGCTCAAGCCCTGAAAGAGGGCCGGATACGAGGAGCTGCCCTGGACGTCCACGAGACAGAACCTTTCAGGTAACCGCGAAGTCACACCGAATATCTGTGCATGATGCATAACCTCACCACTCTTCTCTGTAACGGCCTTTCTCCTTCTTAACAGTTTTTCAACAGGCCCTCTGAAGGATGCCCCCAACCTGATCTGTACCCCGCACACATCCTGGTACAGTGAGCAGGCATCTGTGGAGGCTCGCGAGGAAGCAGCCAGGGAGGTTCGCCGCGCCATCACCGGTACGACGCTTTTCACTAAACAGGACAACACTGTTGTTTCACTTCAATAAATTGGTTAGTGTAGATACAGTACAGGCAGGAACTACACAGATCCAACTGGGATGTTTTCATTCATGGAGCACTGATTTGCTTACGGCTGTGCAAAGTTTATGGCGATGTGGCTGTTGATCGGAGTGCGATTTTTAATTTGAGATACTTGTGTGTCTGTGGCCTCAGCATTTACAGACTAAGGTGCATGTATAACGAGGCTTTAAGGATTGGTTTATAATCCCTTGATTGATTGTACAACTTAACAATCAAAATCTTGTATCTTCCTGTTGATTAACCTCTTGACCATTTCATTAATCATTTTGTCTAGAAAAAGAAATGTCCATTATAATTTCCCAGTGCCCAGCATGATGTAATCATATTGCTTGCTCTGTCTGGGCAGCGGTTCAAAGACCTCAGTTCACGATATCATATATTACACAAAAAAGACAAGAATCAAATGTTCACATTTGAGAATTGGCGAATGTTTGCATTTTATGCTTGAAAGCAATCTATTATTGAAATAGTTGCTGATTAATTTTCTGTTGATCGACTAATCGATTAATCGACCAATGATTTCAGCTGTAGTTCATATTTTAGGGCATTATACTCTTTAAACACTCTTTTACCAGCCTTGAAATAACCCTTAGGAGAAGCCATTTCCTAGAATGAGCAGAAATGAGTAGCCTTCTACATGTGAGTATTAATGCAGTTCATGACAATAACGCACACTCCAGTAAATGAGAGTCAGATATTCTCTGTGGCTATTTTGTAAATGCCTCATCATTTTATACTTGCAAATGATCTAAAAGCAGAAACTGATTAAGGCTGCCCCCTAAATTATGATGATTTCAATCAACAGTCAGAAAGCCCCCAAGTTGAACCTCGTTCAGGCCGTTGCACTTTTTCATCTACACTACGTTTCGTGTTATTGTACACAGAGAAACGCCGGAGGACAAATTGAGTCACTACACAACTAACTGTGATGGAAAAGCTTTATGTATGGTGACTGAGTAGTGTCAACCAGGCGCATGCTACGAGCACAGAACAGTATCCAGCAAGCAGAAAAGGGAGCATTTTTGCTCTGCGTACACAAATGTGAGAACTCAGACAAAAATGATGCCAGTTCTGGGTTTTAAATGGCTGTTGAATGCTGTGAATGAGAACAAGTTAGAGTGTAGATTCTAGCGAACAATTAGCTATAGCTAGCTCTAATATTTGCTATGGGTACATTGGGAATGATATATGAAATTACTGTCCTTTCAAAAGCATTGTACATAACCCAACGACTGAATGAACCAGAGAAACTTGCATATGCTTTTATTTATGGCGCTGTGTTGCATTACATTGTCAGTAAAGACAGGAAAAATATACATTTACAGCAGTACTTGCCCATGGACAATAAAGGACGAGTGTGGACAGGCTGTAAAGAGTGTAGGAGAAACTACAGTGGCCACAAAAAATCTTAAGGGCCCAATCTAGAGCCAGTGTTTGGTTTGTCCGTTCTGGGATACTGTAGAAACATGGCGAACTCTATAGAAGGCGTCCCGCGGCTTGTGTGTATAAAAACGGCTCATTCTAAGGTAACGAAATCACAACAATTCCTATATTCAAGTGATTATACACTAATGAAAACATACCTCCTGGTTTGACAGTCTGACAGTGGCCTACCACTTTGAACCGGCCGCTGCTGTTAAGAAATGGGTGCAACACGAGTGGCCTACCACTCATCATCTGCCACTGAACCACTAGTAGCCTACCGTCAGCCACTTTTCACTCTTGGCATCACTCTGTAAATGGTTGTTCTCTCTTCAACTATGTCAGTGATCAAACAGCCAATCAAAAGTCATGTTCAGTATTCAAAGTGACCAATGTCCATTCCGCCTGCATCCAAAGTCTCAAAAGTCAAGTGTTGAGCAGTTGCGAGCGCGTCGGGAGGGTGTACCTCGCGCTCGTCACAGCCCTGTGCTCATGTGACCGCATTTGTGCACAAGAAGCTGAAAGTTTCCCTCGTGAGGATGCTTTTCCACCGAGGGACACTGTTCCATGTGCTCCTATCACATGTACCCGCCTGGTTTTATGTGTGCGGGTTTTCAGATGAATTAAACGTCAATGTTATGGCAGAGTGAAGCAGCGCGGCGGGGCTCATTCACTGCTCTGCTCTCAGCTGCACTCCTGAATGTTACTAAGTCAGATAAACTACTGGCTACAACTGTGCAATCCGCAGTTCGGCTTATAGCCAGGAGCCACCAAGGGAGGTGTGTGTGTGGTGCCCAATCATTTTGTTAATGAACTATGACCCAGGCTTACACTGTTTATTTCATTCACTCTGAGGAAACACAGATGATCAAAGAGAAATATGGGGCTCTGTAGGTGCGTTGGACTGCGTTGTAACCGGGCAGAAACGGGCGGCTCAGAGTTGGCTGACCTGAAAGAGTTAACGGTCTGTGTTCCCTCCTGTAGGACGCATCCCTGACAGTCTGAAGAACTGCGTTAACAAGGAGTATCTGATGGCAGCCTCCCAGTGGCCCAGCATGGAGGCAGCCACTGTTCACCCAGAACTTAATGGAGCCACTTACAGGTGAGACGACTGGATTTACACATCTGGGTGTATGGGGCATCTTTTTCTTTTACATGATTCACATACTTATTTATTTATTTCTACATCTGTGTTTCAGATTTCCTCCAGGTCTGATCAATGTTGCAACTGGGGGTCTCCCTGGAGCTGGCACAGGGGTTGAAAGCCTGGTTTCAGGAACCCTGGCGCACGGCATCGCCCCCGTCTCCCACCCCCCTCACGCCCCCTCCCCGGGGCAACCCAAGGCCGAAGCCGACAGAGACATCCCCTCCGACCAATAGCCCCCCCGTGCCGTCGCCAGCACATTCCATCACCTCTGGAAAGCAACCCCCACCTCCCGGCATCAGACACAGCCCGACCCTCCAGTACATTGGCAGCGCCAGTTTGACCTGATGTGGATCTACACAGTCTTGTTCCACAGATCACATAACCAGCCCAGGAGTGACTTATCCACAGCTAGCCCCATCCCATCCACACCCCACGAACACAAATCCCTCCATCTTCGTCCTCATCTCACCTACTCACCCGTCATCCCCCTCCCCTCCC